GAGCCGGGTCGTGGATGACCTACGACCTCTAGCCTTTCTCGCTGATCTGTTTTTGGTGTGTGTGTGTGTGTGTGTGTGTGTGTGTGTGTGCGTGCGTGCGTGCGTGCGTGCGTGCGTGCGCGCGCGCGTGCGTGCAAGTGTAAATTCTTAATTCGTGAGAGTTTCCTCTCCCCTCCTCGAAACGTTTGCCTTGTGATGTCTGTCTGCTTCTCACCGTAAAACCTTCCCCCTTAATTATTCCAACCCCTCCCCATGACCATGCCACCACTGCCCGCCGATGACGCCAACACTGCCGATGGTACCGCTTGGTGGTGATTATCTTGATGCCACCTGGTGGCAACCATGGTGCCACCTGGTGGTGACCTCTCTCTCTTCTTTTTTCCGTCCCGCTCAGTACCTGCGTCAGGGCTGTCTTTGCGACCCCATGCTCAATGCTGCCACCTGGTAGCAACCATGGCGCCACCTGGTGGCAACTGTAGCACCACCTGGTGGTGACTTCTGTCTCTCACTCTTCCTTCTGCTCAGTACTTGCGTCAGGGCTGTCTTCGCGACCCCATGCTCGACGACGCTGCCACCTGGTGGCAACCATGGCACCACCTGGTGGTGACTGTAGCGCCACCGGGTGGTGACCGTAGCACCACCTAGTGTTGACCTCTCTCTCACCCTCCCGCTCAGTACCTGCGTCAGGGCTGTCTTCGCGACCCCGTGTTCGATGAGCCGCCACCGGGTGGCAACCATGGCGCCACTTGGTGGCAATTGTAGCGCCACCTGGTGGTGACCTCTGTCTCTCCCGCTCAGTACCTGCGTCAGGGCTGCCTTCGTGATCCCGTGCTGGACGACGCTGCGGACTTCGGAGTGACGGAGGACGCAATGCGGCAGCTGGGTTTCCGTGACGACGAGCGACGCAACATCTACGCGATCGTTGCCGGCGTGCTGCACCTCGGCAACGTCTCGTTCGAGGACGACGAACACAACTCGCGAGGTAGGGGGCGCCGCTGCAGCCAGAGCTTGTTGTTGGGGTGGGAGGACGAGTGGGGGAAGGGGGTTTCGGTCGATGCTTGGAGGGAGGAAACGTCTTCATTCGAGGACAACAAAGCACAACTCGCGAGGTAGGGGGCACCACCCCCGGAGAGGGGGGGTTGGCGGGTCGACGCCGACACGACCGGCAAATCCTTTACCCCGCTCGCACTTCCTAATACGAACCAAAAAATTTTTTTTTTTTAAATGAAAATTTTGCAAAATTTCGAAAAATTTGCCGGCGCCATTTCGCGGCGCTGCGGTCATTCCGAAAAAAGCGTGCTGCTGATAACCAGTTTTGCTCCACCAGGTGGCAGCGTCGTGTCGAACGTGGGCAGCAACGCTCTATCATTGACGTCAGCGATCTTCGGACTGGAGAACGATGAGCTGAGAGATGCTCTGACGGCCAGGGTAATGCAGAGCAAGGGCGGAGTCAAGGGCACCGTCATCAAGTGAGTGATCGCTCGCGCGCTCTGCCGCCGCTCGCCAGGGGGCGCCCTGCAGGGCGTCTTCTTTGTTTGCGGCATCGTCTTGTTTTGCGTAGTCGTGGTTACCTGACGCTTCTGCGAAATTGCAGAAATGCTCGTCCGATTGAAAGGAAAAATTTCGAGATCAAAACCGCGAGACTTTTCGACGTATGGTCGAATGTCATCGAATAGAATAGAGGTCATCGTTATCGTTAACTGTTAATCGTGTCTAGGGAGTTGAATCGATGGTCAAGTTAAAAAATCTTACTTCTGTAGGTTTAGGTAAGAATCGTGTTTTACTGTTGTTTTAGAGTTTTTTACTGTTTTTTTGCTGTTTTTTACTGTTTTACTGTTGTTTGCGCAATGATTCACGTACGATGACGACGTTGTTACACGAGGTCAAAATATGCGCGCTCGCCCATAGATGGCGCTGATCGCTACGCAATGTCACAATGCGCTCGCTCAGCAATACATGGCGCTCGTCGCTGTTCGTGCTCACCCATAGATGGCGCTCATCGCCGCTCGTGCTCGCCCATAGATGGCGCTGATTGCTGCTCGTGCTTGCCCATAGATGGCGCTGATTGCCGCTCGTGCTCACCAGTAGTTGGCGTTTATCACCGCGCGTTTGTTCGCAGGGTTCCGCTGAAGGTCTACGAGGCAATGAACGCTCGCGACGCGCTCGCCAAGGCCATCTACGCGAAGCTGTTTGATTCCATCGTGCGCAAGATCAACGACTGCATCCCGCTCAAGTCATCGGCCAACTACATAGGCGTGCTGGACATAGCTGGGTTCGGTGAGTGAAAGAGAGGGGGAGCAGGGAAGGGGGAGAGAAGAGAGAGGGGCGGGAGAGAAGGAGAGGAGGAAGGGCGTCAAGCCGTAGTATTGCTACATGGGCGTGTTGATATGGCAGGGTTGCTGGTTCCATTGGTGTGATTGCGGTTAGATGTGTTAGGCGATTGAAGGAAGGAAAGGTGCAGGAGAGGGAGGGGGCATTGGGAGCATCATCATCATCATCATCATCATCAGTATCGTCATCATCATTGTCGTCATCATCATCATCATCATTACCACCACCACCATCATCATCATCTTCATCATCATTATCATCAGTATCGTCATCATCATTGTCGTCATCATCATTATCATCATCACCACCACCACCATCATCATCATCTTCATCATCATCACCCTCTCTCTCTCGCTCTCTCCCTCGCTCTCTCTCTCTCTCTCTCATCTCTCTCTCTCTATCTATCTATCTCTCTCTATCTATCTATCTATCTCTATCTATCTATCTCTGCCTCTCTATCTATCTCTCTCTATCTATCTTTCTCTTCCTATCTATCTATCTCTCTATCTCTCTCTCTATCTCTCTCTCTGGCTCGCGCTCTCTCTCTATCTCTCTATCCCTTTCTCTTTATCTCTCGCTCTCTCTCGCTCTCTCTCTCTCTCTCTCTCTCTCTCTATCTATCTATCTATCTTCTATCTCTCTATCTCTCTATCTCTCTATCTCTCTCTATCTGTCTCTCTCTCTCTATCTGTTTCTCTCTCTCCCTCTATCACCTTCTCTCTCTCTCTCTTTCTCTTTCTCATACTAACTTCTCTTCCTCCTCCTCTACAGAGTACTTTCCGATCAACTCGTTCGAGCAGTTCTGCATCAACTACTGCAACGAGAAGCTGCAGCAGTTCTTTAACGAGCGCATACTGAAGGACGAGCAACGGCTGTATGAATATGAAGGACTAGGACTACGTCAAGTCAACTATTCAGACAATCAGGACTGCATCGGTACGTGCCTCCCTCCCTCCTCCTCCCCCGCGTGTACGTAGGCCTACCTGTTCACGTAGCCATGCTACTTAGCCGGCGAACAGTAACCCTTTGTTCTAATATCGCACAGAAAGGGAAAATGGTCGTTTATGTAAATTGCTGTCCACCAACCACCGCCACTGCAGCAAGACAGACAAGCCAGCCTCTGCCTATGGTAGCTCTAGTGCTATAGTACTCTCTAGTACTAGTACTAGTTACTCTATAGTACTAGTACTAGTTACTCTAGTACTCTAGTACAGGCCTGTGGGGGAGCGAAGGGCTATAGTTCTAGAGCTATAGGTATGATATCTATGGTATATATATATTTATGGTAGCTCTAGTACTATCTAGCCCTTTTTGCCAGCGTCTGCCTCTGTGGTAGCTCTAGTACTGTAGCCCTTGTTGGCAGTGTCTGCCTGTATGGTACTATTGGTAGCAGCTCTAGTACTACAGCCCTTGTTGGCAGTGTCTGCCTGTATGGTACTATTGGTAGCAGCTCTAGTACTACAGCCCTTGTTGCAAGCGTCTACCTATTGCCTCTATGGTACCTGTGTCCCACCTTGCTAATTCACTTTGCTCGTAGCCAGGTGACTGGCAGACGGGCGGGTGCTTAAGTACGTACATGCCTTCTGGTTATTGGAGAATGATGGCTTGCTGTGGAATAGATATATCGTATTTGAGTGTTTAGTTGCTGAATTGTTGCGAAATAACGAGAGAGAGAGAGAGAGTGAGAGATAGAGAAAGAGAGAGAGAGAGAGAGAGAGGTAGTGTAAGAAGAGCAATGGGTAGAAATAGAGAAATAGAGAGAAAGATGTAATCCTTTAATCCCACGACATGGTGATACTTCACGGCTGACCTGTTCTAAAAGTCGCATCGCATCAGCCGCGCAGCATCACCGAGCCTCGCCTCCATGCTAGGGCCGGCACCACTAATCACGGCACGTACGCGCCGCTAATTGGGGGAGGGTGGTGTTAATCCCCCAACCAGCTGGCGTGGGTGCCCGTGACGTAGCAGTACTCCAGCAGCATGTCCGGCGTGGGCGGGCCGCCATCTTTGACTGTTCAGCTCGCCCTGCTAGCAGGCCAGATTGATCGCGCGTGGTTGCTAGGGGCAACGCCGTAGAATGAATGGCCAGCAGGCCGTATTGATCGCGCGTGGTTGCTAGGAGCAACGCCGTAGAATGAATGGCCAGCAGGCCGTATTGATTGCACGTGGTTGCTAGGGGCAACGCCGTAGAATGAATGTTTCCGTCGACCGCCGATAGAGGGGGGGGGAGTGCCTTGTAACGTGGTTGTTACACTTCTCCCCCCACTAAACCGATGACCACCATGTGGACATCGAATGCCAGCCTCCGGGCTGGCCGTCCAGAGGGGGGGGGCGGTCGGCGTGGTAACCGTGCACTGTTATCATCTGACTAATAGTAATACCGTAATACATTTAACACATAATATGACAATACATTAATACCTAATAACATAATACCTAGTAATACAATATGGTCCAGATCAATACATAATAATATAAGAACACATTGATACGTTACGATCTACTGATTAGCCACTTGTGTCCTGCAGGGACGTAATCGGGCACTAGTGTCCGTGACGCTCATGCGTCATGCTCACATTGGTTGTTGGGGTCCTCCTCGTCGTCGTCCTCCTGATGGTCGGCTCCGTTGGGGGTGGCGGCCGCTCGCGACATGGCGGCCAAAATAGCCGCTGCGGCCATCTGGCGTATATGTTCCGGATGGAACGTCTATAGAGAAGCTCGTGAGCTCGTGTGATAGGCACGTGTGATCGTCATAGTGGGTCCAGGTTCGTGTACAACAGATACGTGTGCAAATAGCACTTAAGCCACAAACAGTATAATTAATGCTATAACCACTGAATTACTACGGTAACTCTATTCTTTAATAAACAGCATCAACATATCACTCCTCCGTCCATCTCTCCCTCCTCTCCCCCTCCCTCCCTCCTCCTCTCTCCTCCCTCCTCCCTCCTCCTCTCTCCTCCTCCTTCCTCCGTCCTCATCCTCATTCTCGTTCTTGGTCTCTTTTGCCTCTTCTTCCTCTTCGACTTTTTCTTCTTTTCTGCCCAACTCTATGAAACTCTGCCACACTCTTGCCCTACCTTACCCTACCTCACCCTGCCTTCACCCTACCTTACTCTACCTTTACCCTACCTCACCCTGCCTTTACCCTACCTTACCCTACATTACCCTACATTACCCTACCTTACCCTACCTTACCCTACATTACCCTACCTTACCCTACATTACCCTGCCTTACCCTAACTTCACCCTACGTTACCCTTCCTTGCCTTATCCTTACTCACCCATACCTTACCTTACCCTACATTACCTTACCTTACCCTACCTTACCCTACCTTACCCTACCTTCACCATACCTTACCCTACCTTTACCCTACCTTGCTCTACCTTACCCTACCTTTACCATACCTTACCTTACCTTATCCTACCTTACCCTACCTTACCCTACCGTACCCTACCTCACCCTGCATTCACACTACCTTAACCCATCCTTACTCTAGCATAATACTTCTTCGCTGCTGCAGATTTAATTGAGGCGAAGGCGGTGGGAATCTTCGACCTGCTGGATGAGGAGAGCAAGCTGCCGCGACCGGACCCAGCCAACTTCACCGCCTCTGTACACCAGAAGTACCCGAACCACTTCCGCCTGTCGGTACGTCGCTGCGCCACCAGGGCGCGCTGTTGCCGTGCTACGAGGGCGCGCAGCAGTCGTGGCCAATTATGGCCGTTTATTGGCGTTGATTTTTTTAGTTGGGACGTTTTCATACGGAGTTTATAAAAATGTTTTTGTGCTTTTTTTTTTAAACAGTTTCTCTTTGATTGGTGCTGTTGTTGTTGATGTTGTTTTTGTTGTTGTTTTTGTGCTGTTATGGTTGTTGTTTGTTCTCATTGTTTGTGCTGCTGTAATTGTTTCTCTTTGTTGCATTTTATTTATGCTGTATGCTGCTGTCATGCATTGTTGTTGCTATTTGTCACTCTATGCATTGTTGCTACATGTTGCTGCTGTTATACACATCATGCTACTACATGACAGGAGTAATCGATATATCATTGGCCGTCCGCCGCATGATTGCAGGTGCCGAGGAAGTCTCGTCTGAAGGAGCACAGGGAGTTGAGGACGGAGGATGGCTTCCTCGTACGCCACTTCGCAGGAGCTGTCTGCTACCAGACCGTACGTACACGTGTAACGCAAAGTTTTACGTTACTATACAGTTGTATATTATGATGTCGTATGCGTAGCCAAAAGACATAGAGAAAGATACAAGTCAACAGAATGATATACCGTATGACTTGATGATGTTTAATTAGTTCACTTCAAACGTTCCTACAAGACCCGTCGCGTCTGATAGATCAGGTAAGAGATATTCCCCGAAAACAGATCGTGCAGCTGTTTTTATGGGCGCCCCTACCTCCCACGGGGCGCGGATGCCATGCCCACCACCGTGCCCGCGCGCCAAACCACCCGCGCTCCGTCGCATCGGACGTATCGCTTGGCTTCACCACCTTCCGCCTCTGGACGGTGGCGCCCGCTGACGGGGATAAATGTGGTACCCAGCTATTCTGCCGTCCTACGCTCCGAGTGAGACGGGTGGCTCGCACTCTCACGCGCCCCAGTGAACCGTCGGACCGCGCGCCAACATGGCCGGACCGTCCGGGCGTTAACAGCTTTTCACGGTTGCATTTAAGCATGTAATCTTTTAACCACGACTGGCGATACTTCAACGGACTGAACGGGTTCTAATCGTGTGG